TGCTGTCCCAAAACGTTCTCTCTTTATAAGGCTGCTTTCACACTGAGAAGTTTTTGAAGCAAATTTGAGTTAAAAAGCACAAGAAAAGCTGAAAAAAATGCTTCCCTATGTATGTCTATGTATGTCTTCACACTGGTCCATTGTGCTTCTGTTGCGGTGTACAAAATCCTGCTTGCTGCATTTTCAGGGCATATTTGGGCAGTTAAAAAAACTGCACCGAAAACCTTCCACCCCATTGAAATGCATTTAAAAAGCTGCAAAAATGCATATAAAATGCATAAAAAATGCATCAGAAATGCACTTTTGTTGCGGTTTTTGAGTCACATGTCCTGTGAAAAATGCACCACAATTGCAGCAAAACTGCAGTCAAATTGCTGCAAAATCATGGCAAAAATGCATATGGATCAATGTGAAAGTGCCAGAACGCTACATGGAGTACTCCGTTATTAGTGGAAAGGCTATTTACATGACTTTGGCAGGTCATTTGATCGGACTGTCCTTTTTCCTGCCTTTTTCCCCCCAGTCATTCATTTGACTAAGAAGCAAGCAAAATGCACATTTGTATAACAAACCACTTTACTTTATAAATGTGTCTTTTTTTAAAAGCAGTGGTATGGAAATTGAATTATCTGTCTGGTTGCTGTTGACAATTAGATATCTGCACACAACTTGTGGCCTTCTCTAATTAGACACATCATGCCTTCTCAAGATATTCAAAATCTGTCATTTCTAAACATAAAATATCTCCATCCTAGTGTACATCTCATGTAACCAGAGGGCCAGTAAATTATCACCTAATAAACAACAATCCTTTTTAAATAGTAGTAAAGGACATCATCTATAAACATTCTTTTTGAATAAGGTATACCTTTTTGACAAATGAACCATCTTTGTAGATTTTCTGTGTCAAGATTCCCCAATGACAGGTAAAGTAGTAAACAAATAGCACTACTGCACCCTGAGTTCTCTGATTCAGGCGTGTCATTACAACTGCTCTGCATTCATCAAATGGAATTTCAGATGATTATTGATGTACACTTGTTTGACTTCCCTTACTAATTATATACTTTACACAGTGCAGATTATTATTTTCATTAGTTTTGTACCACACACATTAAGAAACATCAACATGACAGCTGATGGTAAAATAGAATTAGTTAAGTAGAGAATACCCATTTATCATTTTCACATGTTCAAAGAAGAGATGTGACAAACATGAGATTATTAAAATAAGTTTTAATTTTTGGAGTTTTGTTGCTTTAGTATTTAACATGATGAAATAAATGGGTATTGGGAAATTGTCTGAGACTTACTACTAACGTTATAGCATATGGCTTAACGAACAGAATTTAGGAAGACTATTTTAGGCCTTTTTTTTTACAAATATTGTTTAATCCCATAAATATATTCCAGTCAGCTGATGTCATTGCAATATGTTTTACAAAGTCTCTGTCTGTGTATGTTATGGGGTATGGTTTTCTTTTCATATCTACTGCATGTTAACCAACATTTAGATTGAAAAAAACCTAATTTTATATCTTTTTGTAGGGTAAATGCAGATTCACTGAGTCATCACCAAATGTGTTTAAAAGTGTATGTCAAGCCAATAGCTAGTTTAGAAAGTTTAGAGCACATGTTTGATATTTGTTGCTCTCCAGGGCTCCCAGTTTCAAGTTTTACCTTCACTTCCTATCCTGCTGACAGCAGTTTAATCAGACAGGAAGTGAGGGAAAATCAGTAACAGGGACATAGACAGAATTAAAAATCTGACAGGGGTTCTAGTTTTCCTTTTCTTTGACATGGGAATGCATTTTTATTTGTGTTTGTGTTGCTGTTGGAAATTTTATTTCGCTTCCTGTCTGACAAAACATTGTAAATAGATCAGGAAGTAAGAAAACCTCTCTAAAGAAGCTCCAGATAGAGGTAAAAACCAGACAAGGATTCTAGCCCCCCAATTTATCCAAAACTAAGCAAAACATATTTTTGGGTGGACATACAATTAAGTAAACAATTACATAATTGTAAAATGAAACATTTCTACTCCATTCATACCACATTATAGGTACATATAGTACATTTCAACCCCATTATAGAGCAAGTAGCAAATACCCCATAGTTTCTTTGATGAGCAGGAAAATATTGCACACTTACCTGAAAGTATATAACATTTGTTTTGGGAGTTATTTACTAAGACAACTGGATTTTTTTCTCTCCCAGCCCTGTGTTCATATGATTGAGTTTAGGGAAATATAACACACACATTTGATCTGCGTCATTGTTAAAGTTGAGCCTGAATAAAACCTACTCCCTTTAGTAAATCATCCCTTAGATCCAAATATTTTATTTTCTTCAGTTCTGTTGTTGAAAGGTTTTATATGACCCACAAACTGGCAGCAAGATTCTAAAATAGTATCAAGCACAGTTTTATTGACAATTGCATTGCTCTGCCTACTTTTAGGTCTTTATATATATTAAAGGCAGATACAGGGGATTGTGTGCACATTAAATTGCATAACTCTCAATACTTGGAAGATGTCACCCTGTTTTTAGTTACACTCATATACAAATATCAGGAGTTCCCATAGATTTATACATGATCTCTGGCTTGTACACATAGCAGATAATCTCATACATCGATTGGATCATGCAGAATTCCACACAGAACAGATTCATGGTTTCTTATAACAAAAAGAAATTTGCTAACTCTAGTAACTAATAATACGTTTTAATGAGGTTGTCAGGGCAAACTTCTCTAGCAGGCTTTGATTATGGCAGCGCCACAAAACCTTGAGCAAAGGATGGTACACTGGCTCTTTTTCTATGACATTATTGCATTTTCCCAAGTGTATAATAATAGTTGGTAGAACAGAGTATGATTTATTTCTCTTGTACCCATAGTGCTACTCATAACAGCAAATATCAGCTCTGTATTTTCAGAGTAATGGTTGCTGTATATTAAGCTGCACCATTGCTGCCAGTACTGCATTTTATTTATGACCATATAAGCCTGAGTTTTGCAGTTTAGACTCTAAATGGTGACTTTTTCTTTAGTAAGAACCATCATAAATCAACTCAACTTTATCAAATATCATAGTATGTTAAAGAACTAATTAATATAGAAAAATCTGGATAACCATTTAAGTAGTACTTAAATCAGAAATAAACCTACCACTCTGTTTTCCAAAACAGTTACATTCAAGTATGCTGTGAATGATAACAATTAAGTTGCCTGTGCTCTCAACTGGACTTTCAGGCCATTAAATGGCTGGTGTCATACCTGATCACATGTGCAACACCACGTGAACTGCAGATCAAACAGAGGCTACAGTGGCAGCTTCCTTGGCTGTAAAGGATAGGAGGGTTTAGTTCTGCTTTAAAGAAACTCTGTTACTGGGTGGATATTGGGATAAACTGCTACAGGTGTAAATTGTGCGCACCCAGAAGTGCCTGTGAATATCTGCAGCAGACTCCTAATCCTCCCTGACACAGTTGCATCTCAGACCATTCTGACACTTCCTGATAGTACCAAAGCCTGCTCATCCCTTCCTACCTCCTGCACATTCCTATTGGTCATTGAAGCTGCCCATCATAGTAATGGGCCTCTGTGTGCCTGCAGTTCATACCTGCAGCAGATTGGTAATCTTCCCTCCAATGACAGAGCCGTTTAAGGTTCATACATGACTCAGTAATGTAAATCCAGTCCTGATTGCTGGCTCATGATACAAGATGTGTTAAAAAGTGGAAGTTCTGTATAGTCAAGGGGAAAAGGGAGGGGAGTATTTTTTTGTCTAGCTCCTAGAGGTTGGGATAATAAATATTATGTTTTTAAAATCATTGTCAATGTGAACTGTCTGTAAACCTGAAATCTGGGTCTTAAGTGCCATTTTATTTCTGCTTAAAACTACTGAATTTACAAAAAAGCCTGTATTTTGTTTTTTTTTCTTTCCTAGAGTGTGAAATATTCACAATGATTTTTATACAGGGGCATAACAGAGCCCCCAGTATCAGACTATGACACACTAGTGCAAAACAAAACAAAAAAAAGCTAGAAGGAGGAACAATATATCAAGAACTGACTTCTTCATGTAGTCCTATGACAATCTCTTCCATTATCAGCACTGTTTTTTTGTTGTTTTTGTTTTTATAGAAAATTGTCTATTGTAACTTTTTACAGACCTTCATGATAAAGCATAAAAACAGTGTATTTTATATATATATTTTATATATTCATATATTTTATATTTCTTTTTTATGTTCAGTCATTTGACTTCAAAATGTCCTCCTGTCTTCTCTGAGTTGATTGTTTTTCACAGGATTTGTGTCCGCATGGGGTATTGTAAATGCCAGAACAACTGATGGAGCATACAAGGCAGGCATCCTGTCCAAGGCAGGAGAAGGTTTAGATGGCTAGTTCTGATACTCCCAAGACTTGTGTTTTCTAACTCCTGCAATTTTCCAATAGCTAATTGTTTCAAAATGAATCTGTCAGAACTCTTCTGTCCAGAAACTTTACCCAGTGGAATGGATTTGGAGGGAAAATGGTTTGTCTTCTCCTTAGTTTTTATTTTTGCTGTTAAAAAAATCTCCCCATTTTTGGAATATATTTTTATTTTGGAGTCTTAAAAAAAATGTCTTCACTATTTGCACTGTTGTTTTGAAAACAATAACACTGTGATATATTTCCAAGACATTGCTGTCCTAAGGTCCCAAGATCCACAGAATAAATGAACGTATGGGCCTCTTGTTTGCAGCAAAAGGGCTCCAGTGTCAGATTTGTTTGCTGGGCGTATGTTTAGCTACTCTGTTGAAAAAGTCATGAGAAGACTTTGTGGTGAAAAGGAGTTCAGCTTAGTGGAGCTGAACAGGGTCAGTAGCTGTAGCAGAGTGATGGCAGGAGGCACAGTGTAAGAAGCTCTTCTTCCCAAAATGATGATGCTCACACAGGTACAATATGGAGGCCTAAGTTCTCGCTCTGAAGTCTCATGTGGTTTCCATGGTAACTAGTGGCGGTCATAGGCAGTGGCAGCAGTGGGAGGTGCGGAGCCCCTGGATGTGGCACTATAATAATAAGGGGAACCTGAAAGTTAACACAGGAGAAGAATGTACTGGTTGGAAGGACAACGAGTGAAACAAATACACTGAATTAAGAATGTTGCAAAACAAATAACTCTTATACAAGACACAATTCTTTCTGTAAAAAAATACAATTAAAAGCTAGTAGTTTAGTTTTTGGGTAGAAAGTGATAAGCGTCAGCGACCTTCTGATTTTTTTGCCACTCACACTGATTTGACCCACCAAAGCTGTGAGTCAGCTTCATTGACTTTAATACAATTACTGGGGCAACACCATGAGCTACAAGAGAAGATTATCAGGGTAGATTGCAGAGGTAAATCCTTCAAAACTGGACTGTAGTAGTAGCTATAGCATTGCATACCAGGTTTTAATTGTAGGGGCAGTAGGGGTATTGCTTCTAACAAAGCAAAACATCCATTAGGTTAACTTTTACACCACAACAGTGTATAGGCTATGACTCATGTATAGTCTACTATCTTTATTACTATTTAAGTATTACAGGTAATCCCAAAAAAAAAACCAATTAGATGCATCAGTAAGATATTTACAATGCATTTTTTCATGATAGCTATGTCTTTTTAGGGCAATTGACCCCTCTGCAAGCCAGTAAAATTTAAATTACTTCACAATTTCACATTCCTATGGTTGGCGTTATAAGAAAACTAGTGTTGATAGGTTATTGAGAGTGCCATGGTGTCTTTGATAAAGTTTTTTTTCAATTTTAATGACCAGTCAGAATTATTAGCCCAATGACACTATTGCCTATAAGTGTAGTAGTTACTCACTTAGTAATGCTGGATTGCTGAACCTCCATGCTTCATTGTATGTTGTATACTGCGGGTGACTGTAGGGATTTCCTGAAAATTCACTTCCTAGAAAGGTAATATACAACAATGTTAGAATGTTATTCTGTTTTCTCTTGGTTAAGTTTTAATAAGTGAATCTTTGTGACACACATAATAAAGGTAGACAGTTTATGGACTGAACCAAGTTTTTTTCAAGCTTGCTACCTGTGGCATGTTATGGACCCTTGGGATCAGTTGTTGTTGTGTTATCCTGATAACTGTCCAGTATCCACAGCAACTATACCAGTTCTTACTTTCAAGTGCTTTGTCCTCTCTGAAAAGTTACATTATATTGGTTTCTAATGGAGGTTTGGTTAATGCACTGCAATAATTGTCTTAAATTGTCTTACATTTTTTACGATGCTCATACACATAGAATGACCATTGCAAAATCAGAAAGATTTTGGTCATAACAGAAGGTAATTAAATGTTTGGGAGCACTATGCCCTCTGTGCATTCATTACAGACTTTCCAGCCATGGTGGTAGATTGCTATTGCTCTTTCAATACAGTGGATATGCTAGCTAAACTTAGTGTCACCCATAGACTGTTGTAAGCTATCATAAGGTAGTTTTGGGTTTTGAAATGTTGACAAATTAACAACATCAGTGAGTTGTGGCTTTAATGTGATAGAATCCCTGTGACTTCTGAGTATGACTCCAATTTTCCCACTGCAAGGAAATATTAAATATTCAAGAATTCATTACAAGAATATTTGTCTGCTTGCACTGTGTTTAACAAATGCCAGCCCTTTAAATTCTGCATAGATGATGCACACTGAAGTATCCACAGACTTTGAAGAAGCAGTAAAAGCCCTTTAACCATTTGACGCCCGGCCTATGGCCGAATGGCGTCCGGAAAAATGTACTAGCTTTCCGGGAGGCCACCATATGGCGTCCTCCCGCACATGCGCAGTTTCGCGCGCTTGCAGAGCCGCGCAGCGGCGCGATCTGTCACCGGCCGTGTACCTCGGACACGGCTGATGACAGATCTGAGTACCAGCCCCCGTTGCCGGTACCATGTGACCTGCTGTGACCAATCACAGCAGGTCACATGAGAGTTGTATACAATGGATGGCTTCATTCATGCCATCCATTGTATACTAGTGTCTAGCTGTTAATGGTCACAGCTAATCACATGCACATGTCATGTGATTAGCTGTGGCCAAATCACAGCGAAGCACAAAAAAAAAAAACCCTGAATGAATCAATGTCATTCAGGTAAATGCTTGCTTATAGCAAAGTAAGTCTTTGCTATGAGCAAATTGTGTAAAAAAAAAAATACTGATCACTTCCCTAAAGTAGTACAATGTTACTATGGTAACATTGTGCTACTTTGGACATAGTGAAAAATGAAAAAAAAAATCTTAAAAAAAAAAAATGTAATAAAAAAGTTTAAATAATAAAAAAATTAAAAAAATGTTTTTAAAAATATATATATTTTTTTTCACACTGTCACCAGTCAGTGTCCCTGATCACCGCCATGCCAGTTATATGATGACGCTGTACTGCACTGGTGACAGTATGTAAAAAAGAAATAGTGAAAATAATTTTTTAACTTTTTTCATTTTCCGAAAAATTATGACAAAAAAAAACAACAACTTCAAAAAATTCGCCATGCCTCTTATGAAGTACGTTGGACTGTCTACTTTGCAAAAAGGGGTCATTTGGGGGATATCTGTACTATTCTGACATTCTTGGACCTCAAGAAATTAGATTGGCTGTCAGTACTTCAGGACTGATCAATATTCAGATCTATACCATAGTTTGTGAATTCTATAACCTTCCTACAAACTAAAAAATACATCCTATATTGGGTTATTTTCACCAAAGACATGGTAGTAGAATACATCTCGGCCTAAATTTATGAAGAACAATTATTTATTTGCAAACTTTTATAACAGAAACAAAGAAAAACGTGGTTATTTTTCAAAATTTGTTTTTTTTTTTTGTTAATTTAGCAAAAAAATAAAAACCCCAGCGATGATTAAATACCACCAAAAGAAAGCTCTAGTTGTGTGAAGAAAATGATAAAATTTTAGTTTGGGTACAATGTTGTATGACCGTGCAATTGTCATTCAAAGTGTGAGAGCGCTGAAACGTGAAAAATGGCCTGGGCAGGAAGGTGTAAAATTGCACGGTATTGAATTGGTTAAAACAAGCCCCCACTCATCCCTGTATCTATACACATTTTGGAGAAATTAATATTCCAAATTCACAACACAGTCACTGTTTTTTCGATGAGAACAGATTTTGGTTGCCTGCCATCCCTCTAATATAAACTAACAGCAGATGTTTCTAAGCTGTTAGAAACCCAGTGAAACCTGATTTGAGACTCTAATCTTAGTTGAGGATCTTTCAATTAGCCTCATATTAAAGTGCAACTGTAGCCATTTTGTTGTTTGTTTTGAATAGAGTGGGAAGTGGTTAGAACCCTTGTCAGGTTTTTTTGGGCCATCTGTGGCCTGCATTTTCCTCACTTCCTGTTGTGGGGAGGAAGTGAGGGGTTCTATCATTCCCTATCTAACTTAAAAAAAACTAAAAAGAAAACTTTAAATAACATAAAAAATATACCAATATCTGTGTTTGCTGGAGAGTTTCCTTCACTTCCTGTGTGGGGAAAAGTGTGTCCTCGAGACAGCATCACACCAATGCTGCAGCATGGAGGTGAGTATGAATGTTTGCTTTTTCTGACCCCCCAAGCTATTCCTTTAAATATCCCCATTCTGACAAAATTTTAAATTTTCATATATATTGTATAATTTGAAATTGTTCTTAAATCTTATTTTATATAAGGCATGCTATTTATAAGGTTCACGTGTGAATTGAATCCTCAAAATAAAATAATTGTATTAATCATCACTCTGTAACAGTTAATGTAATTTCCAAAATCACAAAAAATTGGGCTAAATATTGTACTGAATATTTCAGCATTATTTCTTCCAGAAACTTTATATTTTTAAAACTAGCCTGTATGATTAAGAATGAGATAACAAGAGCATACATAACAGCGATTAAACATGTTTCCTGGCAGCTAATGAATATGGTGCAATGCTGAGTTTTCCATTGGTACTATATCAGACACAGGAAAATGTGCACAGCACTACATGTGTTTATAGGTGTGTGCAGAGGTGGGGGAGCTGACAGCGGACACTGGAAGTGTTTATTGATGAGAAGTGAAAGCATGCATACAGGAGGATAATGAGCTTTTGAGCTCAACTGTGACCAAGAGGAACTGAGCTATCTCTTTCCCTGATCACTAATGAAACAAGTGTAATTTCCTCATCAGCATTGAATTTTATTTCCATACTCCCCTATCTGCTCACCCGGCCGCAAGGCCTTTTCAGCAGTTCACTGCACCAATCGGGATTCCCTTTCCTCTAAGTTCTACAATAATGTCTCCTGAGAATACCCTTGTATATTAGGGAGTAGAGTGTAAGGGCTGAAAAATATGGATCTGTTCTACATCTTTATGCAATGTCATTTAATGGAGCATTCAGTCTTACTTGTGTTATATATCTAGGAATAAATAAACAGGAGTATTACTCCATAGGTGAGTTGTGCCCAGCAAAATAACCTTCTTTCGCCAGAATAATACACTGTATCTTTCAAGCTTCCAACTATTTTATTTAAAAGTATTCTAAAATATATAAAAATGAAATGCCAAAAAAGAAAAAGTGAATTCTCATTTAGCAATACCATGTAGAAGTCCATATATATTTCCATATATAGTTTATAACTGTGGGAACATTATGGGCAAAATGATAATATTTAATAATGAGCTAATATCAACAGATTGCTACACTTAACCTTTCATCTTCAGGAAGTATTAAATGAAAGAAGATAATGAGACTGCTGGATCTTTTACTCTGGAACAAGAAATCCCAACAAGTTCTGCCAAGAATATTTTGGGAATATAAAGTGGAAATATGCTTTGCCCATTGTGGGAAACATAACAATGGTAATCTAACTTTGATCTTTCCCTCCCTAGCTTCAATACTCACCTTTATTTTGCTTCTCCACTAGCTATGGGGAGCATGTGACTCACTCCTTTACCTTCTATGTAACTAGGCTAGTGTTTGGTGGTTTGCCACTTAGGCACCCAGTGAGGTCACAAGGAAGCAAGGAGAGAGTCCTCAGCACTGAGTAAGCTCCAAGTTATGATTAGGTCTTACATAAGGCTTCCTATCTTTTTTCACAACAGCTGAATGGAGTGGTGGGAGAGTAAAACAAAGTTAAGTATGTGAAAAGCAGCGGTTAGGTGAAACTGTTACTTTGTCCTGCATAGGTCAAGGAGCGCTGCACTCTAAATATTAAGAGTGGCTGCGAAAACAAAGGTTCTGCACATATACAAGCTTGTACCTAAAGTGCTTAGAGAATAGGCAAACAATCTAGCTTTAAGACCCATATTCATGCAGATAACCTATAAACTATATAGTTAGGCATCACTGAATAACATGTTATACCTTGAGTGTGGAAAGATTTGCTTATATCCTGCATATAGTAGCATAGGGCATTATAAATAGGATATCAGAAGACAGAAAATACAACAGAGAGATATGCACAATGTGCTAGACTCACCACTCCCAGTCCTGCAGTGAAACAGACAAGGCTTAGAGCTGGACAGACATGAGCAGCACTCCACAGGCTGGACCGAATGGTGGACCGAAACGTTGGTGCCTGTCAATGCAGTGATAATGAGATTCCTCTTTCCTGCCAGTAACCTGTGGAGTGCTGCATACTGTGTGTTAGTGTTCAGACTCTAAGCTTATCTAGTGACATGTGGGTCAACTGGAGAGTTGTGTACTAAGTGAAGGTATATGACTGCTCTTAGTAAAATTCTCTTTAGTTTCTCTTATGTTAAACATTTCCTATTAACTAAAAGGATCATTCAATGCTTGCCTCTGACTCACTATATCTGAAAAGTTACAGAGTATAAAATCTGCCATCACCTTATATACTGAAAATATTCTACAGTCTCTCTCTCTCTCTCTCTCTCTCTCTATATATATATATATATATATATATATATATATATATATATACAGTGGGGAAAATAATTATTTCATCCCCTGCAGATTTTGTAAGATTGCCCACTTACAAAGAAATGAAGGGTCTATAATTTTTATCATAGGTGTATTTTAAATGATAGACACAGGATATCAACCAGAAATCTAGAAAAAGCAAATAACGTTTTGTAAACTAAGTTGCAGTTCAGTGAGTAAAATAAGTAAATAAGTATTTGATCCTCAAGCAAAGCATGACTTAATACTTGGTGGAGAAACTCTTGTTGGCTAGCACAGAGGTAAGACGATTCTTGTAGTTGGTCAAAAGGTTTGCATACATCTCAGGAGGGATTTTGGTCCACTTTTTTTTTACAGATCTTCTCAAAATCCTTAGGGTTTCTTGGCTGTTAATTGGCAACTCAAAGTTTCAGCTCCCTCCACAAATATTCTATAGGATTAAGGTCTGGAGACTGGCTAGGCCACTCCATGACCTTAATGTGCTTCTTCTTGAGTCACTCCTTTGTTGCCTTGGCGGTATGTTTTGGGTTGTTGTCATGCTCGAAGACCCATACACGACCCTTCTTCAGTGTTCTGACTGAGGGAAGAAGGTTCTCATCCAAGATTTTACAATATATGGCGCCATCCATTGGCTCCTCAATGCGGCAAAGGCGGCCTGTACCTTTAGCGTAGAAACAGCCCCAAAGCATAATGTTTCCACCTCCATGCTTGGCTGTAGAGATGGTGTTCTTAGGGTCATAGTCTGCATTTTTCTTCCTCCAAACATGGCGAGTCGAGTTGATACCAAAGAGCTAAATTTTTGTCTCATCTGACCACAGCACTTTTTCCCACTCCTTCTCTGAATCATTTAGATGTTCATTGGTAAACTTCAGATGGGCCTGTATATGTGCCTTCTTGAGGAGGGGACCTTTGCGGGTACTGCAGAATTTCAATACATGGTGGCATATTGTGTTACCAATGGTTTGTTTGGTGACTGTGGTCCCAACTGCCTTGAGATCATTCACAAACTCCCATGTAATTCTGGACTGATCCCTCACTTTTCTCCTGATCATCCTTACCCCATGATGAAATCTTCCATGGAACTCCCAACTGAGGGCAATTGATGGTTATTTTGTATTTCTTCCATTTGCGAATAATCACTCCAACAGTTGTCTCCTTCTCACCAAGCTTCTTGCTGATGGTCTTGTAGCCCATTTAGGCCTTGTGGAGGTCTACAATCTTGTCCCGGATGACTTTTGCCAGCTCTTTGGTCTTGCCCATGATGGTGAGAAAGAATGAGAATCTGTGGACAGGTGTCTTTTATACACATAACGAGTTGTCATTAGGAACATTGAGAGAACAAATCTGTGTACCACCTGAGCACATAGCCAGTCTGTGGGAGCCAGAATTATTGTTGGTTGGTAGGGGATCAAATACTTATTTTACTCACTGAACTGCAACTCATTTGTATCATGTGTTTTTCTTTCTATATTTTTGGTTGATATTCTGTCACTATTTGAAATACACCTATGATAAAAGTTATAAACCCTTCATTTCTTTGTAAGTGGGCAAACTTACATAATCTGCAGGAGATCAAATAATTATTTTCCCATATATATATATATATATACATATATATATATATATATATATATAGAGAGAGAGAAAGAGAGAGGGAGAGATGGTAGATATGTTATTAATTGCTTGGGTGTGATCTAAATCCTTCTTTGCACTGTCCTCCAACCTATCATATATTAAAAAAAACATATGGAAGTATATCCACCTCTATCTATGCACAGTATTATAGAGTGTTTACTGCATTTGTGAATGTTATGATATAGCTACTGTGTACTAGACTGACATAAATAATGCTAATGTATATGTCACGTCATTTGGAGAATAAAATCAAAATGCTTAAAATAACATATCTTCTAAACTAAAACAATTACTCACCAGGGACCATTCCAGCAAGGGTCGAGGTTGGGTAGCTGCCTTGTCCTGTAGGAGGAACATGAGGAGGGTAGCCAGGAAGGGTTGTACTCGTCATGTCTCGACCTAAGAGTAAACACATACATTTTTATTAATAACATGAAAAATGTTTTTTGAACAATGATACAAATGATTATTTCCTGTAAAATCGTGTTTTGCTTCTTAAAAATATAAAAAGAGGTAAAGGGAAACTGCACAGTCCTGATTATAAGAAGACTAAGCTCCACCAACTGCTATTCCTTTTTACAACAAGAGTGCCCTTAACCTCTCTTCACGCTGGACGAACGCAAATGTGCAGCCTCCCGACGTCTGGGCCTAGACGCTGAGCGTCCGCACATTTGCATTCTATTAAAAAAGGACATGTGCCGAGAGCGCGCGCCCTGCGCGCTCCCAGCACACATGTCCGGTACTCACGGAAAGGTCCCGGGAAGCACCGGTGTGAAGGGGTTAAAGTCCAATTAATCTATCTTGTTGGAGAAAGAGAATGGCAGTTGTAGTGCTTAGCACTAAAGTTATATCAGACTTAAATAACAAAGTGACATTAGTTTTGTAGAGAAACGGAGAAGAAGGTCTACCATGGACCCCAGTCTTAGGCAAGATCACTTTTACATTTACAGGTGAAACTCGAAAAATTAGAATATCGTGCAAAAGTTCATTTATTTCAGTAATGCAATTTAAAAGGTAAAACTAATATATGAGATAGACTCATTACATGCAAAGCAAGATAGTCCAAGCTGTGATTTGTCATAATTGTGATGATTATGGCTTACAGCTCATGAAAACCCCAAATCCACAATCTCAGAAAATTAGAATATTGTGAAAAGGTGCAATATTCTAGGCTCAAAGTGTCCCACTCTAATCAGCTAATTAGGCCATAACACCTGCAAAGGGTTCCTGAGCCTTTAAATGGTCTCTCAGTCTGGTTCAGTAGGAATCACAATCATGGGAAAGATTGCTGACCTGACAGTTGTGAGGAAAACCATCATTGACACCCTTCATAAGGAGGGAAAGCCTCAAAAGGTAATTGCAAAAGAAGTTGGATGTTCCCAAAGTGCTGTATCAAAGCACATTAATAGAAAGTTATGTGGAAGGGAAAAGTGTGGAAGAAAAAGGTGCATTAGCAGCAGGGATCACAGCAGCCTGGAGAGGATTGTCAGGAAAAGGCCATTCAAAAGTGTTGGGGACTTTCACAAGGAGTGGACTGAGGCTGGAGTCAGTGCATCAAGAGCCACCACACACAGATGGATCCTGGACATGGGCTTCAAATGTCATATTCCTCTTGTCAAGCCGCTCCTGAACAACAAACAACATCAGAAGCGTCTTACCAGGGCTAAAGAAAAACAGACCTGGTCTGTTGCTCAGTGGTCCAAAGTCCTCTTTTCTGATGAGAGCAACTTTTGCACCTCATTTGGAAACCAAGGAAACACTGCAAGATGCTTGAAGTCCAGTGTGAAGTTTCCACATTCTGTGTTGATTTGAGGAGCCATGTCATCTGCTGGTGTTGGTCCACTGTGCTTCATTAAGTCCAGGGTCAACGCAGCCGTCTACCAGGAGATTTTGGAGCACTTCATGCTTCCTTCCGCAGACGAGCTTTATGGGGATGCTGACTTCATTTTCCAGCAGGATTTGGCACCTGCCCACACTGCCAATAGCACCAAAACCTGGTTCAATGACCATAGGATTACTGTGCTTGATTGGCCAGCAAACTCGCCTGACCTAAATCCCATAGAGAATCTATGGGGCATTGCCAAGAGAAAGATGAGAGACATGAGACCGAACAATTCAGAAGAACTGAAGGCCGCTATTGAAGCATCCTGGTCGTCCATAACACCTCAGCAGTGCCACGGGCTGATAGCTTCTATGCCACGCCGCATTGAGGCAGTAATTGCTGCAAAAGGGGCCCAAACCAAGTACTGAGTACATATGCGTGCTTATACTTTCCGATCCGATATTGTTCTATGTACAATCCTTGTTTTATTGATTGCATGTAATATTCTAATTTTTCTGAGATTGTGGATTTGGGGTTTTCATGAGCTGTAAGCCATAATAATCAGAATTATGACAAATCACGACTTGAACTATCTTGTTTTGCATGTAATGAGTCTATCTCATATATTAGTTTCACCTTTTAAATTGCATTACTGAAATAAATGAACTTTTGCACGAAATTCTAATTTTTCGAGTTTCACCTGTATAAGCTACTTTAAACATTATTGCAAATCCTACTACCTAGTATAAAGATGACCACTAACTGTAGGAATTACAATTTTGTATAAGTACTACAATAATTCAAAAGGGAGAATATCAGGAAAGTAATAATGTGAAAGTCACATGAAAACAGTGACATTGCTTTCAAGTGAAGGCTGAAACAATGCATTTTTCAAAATGCATAATTGTTTAAATACGTTAGTTTCCCTTTAACACTGATACTTCTAGGACTGACCTGTTCATTACTTTATTGTCATGTTATTAGTATGGGCAGAGCACCTTTTCCACACACCGAATGCTCTTCCAGCCTTGCTCTTTCTTATTCACACACACATCACATCTGCTCCATCAGCCTTTTATTAGTAAGTAAATGATCAAACCCCAAGGCTCTGTGCTTATATTGTATGACCTCAAAATATGCATATCACATCCAAAGCCTGAATCTGAACTAGAACCTGTAGCAACATTACATAAAGTACTTTATTTGTATTGTTTCTTTTTGTACTCCTGTCCAAGGATGTAAAATAAAGTCTTAATTCGAAAGATGTCTTTAACAGTAGTTCAACATGTGTTCTATATAGTACTGCATTAAGATCCATATATCATTGCACAAATATTCCACACCATAAAAAGTTTTTTCATAGCTGTATTTTAATGATACAGATTCAATTTTTAGTAGAAACTCATACAGTATATGTTGGAAGCAGGGGCAAACTGACCATTTGGAAACTTGGGCACTGCCTGAGGGCCCGGGGTCAGTAGGGGGCCCCATGAGATGCCCCTGGTACCTTTTTCATAGGCTTTTTTGAGTTTGGGCAAGGACACAGGGGCCCCATGATCCCCTATTGCCCGGGGGCCCCATGAGTTGTCAGTCCGCCCCTGGTTGGAAGCCTTAATTTAAATACTAATGGCCAGATCAAATGCATGAATTTGCCAGGAAACTTGCATTAAAGAGATCTATGCTTATATCTGTAAATTCACAAGGCTTCTTTTGAATACAGTCCGCAAAGAATGTAGGATACTTCTATTAACTGCTATTGGCTTACAGCTATTGAGAGCACAGAAGAGGATTCAGCTTTTCAGTTTGTACATGGTGTGCAATCTTTATTGTAATTACTATTACCTATACATATGCAACCTTACTTAGTCTTCTATGACCTCCTCATTTTTGCCCTTTACATCACCCTTCTAAACGAACTGCTCCTCCATGCTTGAATAGTATAAGTAACTAGTAAACTGCAACATAGTTAGAAGTAATTCAGATTACTTTGTTGATTAAACATCATTTGGCACATATGTCTTATGGAATCTAAGCAGCAAATTTCATGGATATAAAGGAAATATAATACCTCTACTTCAAGTGTTAAAGTGAAGCCCTACTCCTAAGGTTGGTATGAAGGAAGAGTTTGATCCTCAGCCAGGTCTTTACTATTTTCTATGATATCAATGTGATATGATATCAACCACCACTAACTCTGCTGTAAGCTAAACCTCCTGATTCCCCTCTTTGATTACATTATCCATATTTTAACTCACATGGGAGCTGGTGACACCACCATTACAGTGTCACAGGAACCTTAGTGGCTTTTCCATGCTGACAAAGCACTCCAGAGATTGACTGTCACAGTAAGACTATGGGGTTGATTTTGTAAAACTAGAGAGTGCAAAATCTGGTGCAGCTCTGCAGAGAAACCAATCAGCTTCCAGGTTTTTTGTCAAAGCTTAAATGAATTAGCTGAACTTAGAAGCTGATTGGCTACCATACACAGCTGCTCAAACTTTGCATTCTTTAGTTTTAGTAAATCAGCCCCTCTGACTAGTGAAAATATATCCACAGCTTACAGATTATAGCAACCCCTACCTCTATCCTATTAAAACATAAACCAAAAGGGGAAGGGGGGTTGTAATCCATTGACATATTTATATTATGAATTTGTGATTTAAAACTTAGATTCAGGGCAGTTTCTTTACAGATATTTGGAATAATGGCCAATATGAAAATGTTGTAACAGCCTGGGGAAGTTAACCCTTTGCCACTCACGCCAACCAACCCCTTTGGGGAAACTTTATTGTCTTTAAGACAAAGAATATAAGACATGACCATGTTCAATTGGTCATTATGTAAACAAGGAGTTGAGTAATGATAGTTGATCAACTAATACACTTATTAGGTAATTGGGCCTGTCTGACAAGCTATTTTCCAGCAATCATAAAAACCTGTTATTTGAGTATTCAGTTGATTTATGCATGAGGGTAAGTTTGGTACCTGCTATGAGTGGCTGGCTGCCGAACTGCCCGTAGGGAGGGCCAGGATGGGTGAAGGAGCTGTACGTAGGTGTGGATGCATCAACCGTGAGGGCCATCTGGAAAGGCTGAAGATCAGCCAGCCCTGAGCTGGCCAGTGAAGAGGGAGTGAAGGGAGTAAGGGAAGCTTCATGAGGCTCTTGCTTTACATAGAGGTGAGAGGAGAAACTCTCTGTGAGGAAGAAGGAAATGGATGGACAGAAGAAAGACAGACACAGGGTGGTACACAGAAAGAGAAAAAAATATATGCATAAATGTAAATGGAATGATATAAAACAAAATAAAAAAAAACTAAAAAAGGTTTAAAATAAGTAAAAATGGTTCTCTAATCCTTTGGACAACTTGCCATTTCTATACTTTTCTACAGTCTGTGTCTGATACTGGAGTTATGAATTCTGATGCCCATAACACACTGGCTCTAGCAGCAGAATAACCAAGGTGCAATTGACAGCATCTCTAATGGGCATCATCCCTCACTGGTTGAAACACTGCAGAACCTCACTTGCTAGCAATGTAGTAGCAACATTAGTAGACATCACTATGGTTGAGCCAGC